TCCCAAGTATTTAACTTCACGGCGAAACCGATTACATTTCTCCGGAGAAAGTTTCAGATTAGCTTTCCTCAAACACGCGAACACTTTCCGTAGATTTTCCAGCTGCTCAGAGAAGGTTCTGCCATGAACGATTATATCATCAAGATATACAAGACAAATGTTCCAGGGTAATCCGGCAAGTACATGATCCATCAATCGCTCGAAAGTGGCGGGAGCGTTGCACAAACCAAATGGCATTACCCGAAAATGCCATAAACCCCCGCCAATGCTGAATGCCGTCTTTTCTTTGTCTGCGGGATCCATAGCAACTTGCCAATAACCAGACTTTAGATCCAACGTGGAAAACCACTGTGAGCCACCTAACGCATCGAGGGTGTCATCAATCCTGGGCAGGGGGTAGGAATCTTTAATTGTCGCATCGTTCAACTTCCGATAGTCTACACAGAACCTGAGGTTACCATTCTTTTTCGCGACCAGTACAACAGGTGAGGACCAAGGGCTCGTTGAAGGTTCAATAACCCCGTCTTTCAGCATCTTGTCTACCGCCTGGCAAGCCACGTCTCTTTTCGCAAGGGGTAACCGTCTTGGAGGCTGCTTAATTGGCTTTGCTGAACCAGTTATTATCTGATGTTTCACGATATCAGTTCTTCCTATATCTGAAGAGTTGCTGGAGAACACGGTAGCATTTTCGCACAACAGGTCAAACACTTTATTTCTCTGGTCCTCATCAACCAAATCTTTTGTACTACTCTCGTAAAGTTCCGCTAGATGTTTCGGTATTTCGTTTCGGGTTGTGGATTCTTCGAAACAATTCTCAAAATCAGGACAAACAACGAAGCTCACTGTCTCACATTTTGCCAGGTCAGTTCCAGCTAAAACTTTACGCTTTTCCTCCGTCACGTTAACCATTCGTATTGGAACTACTGTGGTTTCGTTTGTTAATTTCGTCAAAACTTTACCAATGAAGACTCCAGGAATGGATTCCTCGTCAGTGGGTTCAATAATTCCCCACCCATTCTTGCCAGTGTAATCAACCACTTTCGCAGGAATGACAGCCTCGGTATGTGGTTGAATATTGATATCTTCAAGAGCTATCACACGATAACAAAGCATGTTCAAATCGTCTGTCAAAGGATGCAAAAGAGGAACTTGAACATTTCCCATCGATAATATTCCATCCTTAATGTTGAGTTGACACCGTTGTTACTGCAGAAAGTCCAAACCCAAAATACACGATTCACTGATGTCTGCCACGTAAAACGACTGTAAAAGTTCTCGGTTGCCAATTGCAAATTTAAGGGTAATGGTCCCCAACAGATTCAATTTTTCCCCAGTTACAGATTTTAACCTTTTTGGAACAGGTTGTACACACGACAAATCTTTCGCAAGGTTCCGTAACAGTTGCGGGGTAACAATTGAGATGTTACTTCCAGTGTCTACAATCATCTGCATCACTTTGCCTTCGAGCTTCCCTTCCACACAACGACCATCTTTTCTTTGTACAAGCCTCTGTCCCTTCGACTGATTCCGTGGGGTGTCTTCTCTTACCGTCGGGCCCCACCCCTTTGACCCGACTCTTGCTCGTTTTCCGACTCAGTACGCTTCTTCTCGGCGTTGTGCAACCGACAATCCCGTTGGAGATGATCTTCCGAACCACATGTCCAACACTTTCTTTTTCCTCTTCGATTCACGCTTCTAACTACTTCACGAAGCTCCGACGTCATTTTCTTCAACTCCGTTAAAAACTCGCTATTCCTTTTAAACGTTTCCTCTTCGGGGTCCACAAAACATTCCGCGTTCGTTTTAGTTGGAGTTTCATGCACTGTTCTCACTGGCCTAAATCTTCTTCGTGCGGCCAAGCTGAACGATTCAATTTCCAAAGCGATTCCGAGCGCGGCTCTAAGAGTTGTAGGTCTAGCTTGAGCGACTCTTAAACGCATTTCATCATCGTTCAAAGCATCGATGAACTGATCTTTCGTTAAAGTTTCTAGAACTTCAGTAGGGGCTTCAGGGTACGCAAGACGGGCAAGTCTTTCGATGTCTTCTGCCAACTCCGGTAAAGTTTCATCTCGACGTCTGACACGATTTCGTAGCTTCATTCTATGCAGCTCAGACTGCCTCTTATTTCCAAAACGGCTTTCTAACGCAGCCAGTAATGATGGGTAATGAACACGACTTTCCGACGGCAAATTTGATAAGACCGTGAGCGCTGGACCTCTAAGACTTGTTGCCAGAAAGGCGGCTTTATCCGGACCGTCCGACTGGTTAATCTCCGCCACAATTTCAAACTGTGTCGCGTATGCCTCCCACGAACTACGTCCGTCAAATACTGCAGGTTTTTGAACCGGGCGACCAGCAGAATAATCTGTCCCACGAGCCGTTGTAACGTTGCACTCTGCTGGTTGTTTTTCTTTACCGAGCTGACTTCGTCCCGCCCCGCTTAACACGGTTGTTAAGCCTTTATTTGCTGTCTCTTCCGTCTTTACACGCGCTGACAAAACCGATTCAAACTCTTCTCGAAGCTCGTTTTTAATCATTCGATGCAAGGAAGCGAAAACTCCAGCATTAGTTTTCTCCAAAATCTCTTGGCTTGATTTGACTTCAGATTCGAGTGATTCCACACGATCGCGTAATTGAAAAACAACAGTCTCCAGTTGTCTGTTCTTATCGCAAACACGAGCAAATTCGTTTGATAGGTTTTGTATTTGCATCGTTTAGAATGTTGACCACTTCGAAAACTCTGCCATCCTGTTGGTCTTTATATTCTTTTAAAAGGTCTCGCTGTTCTTGTACTGTAGTCAACAACTCTGTTTCGAACGGCGAGCGAACTTGTTCGAGCTCCGGTTCTTTATGCTGTTGTTCTTCTGCATTGCCGTTTGTTTCTTCCTGAGCAGCTTGTGCTCGAGTCAAGGGCATCTTTCAGCCAAGTAAAATATAACTCAATTGAGTCCTGGCGGGGTCGCCAAATGTCGCGTTCCGCCGCGATATTCTATCGATCAATCGAAAAACAGTCGTCTCAAAAACACATATAATTCTTCCAAAATATCACATCACAAAATATATCTACACTTGTTTATTAGACTCGGGCTTATATAGAGCCTGATTTGCATTACGCATACACAGTACAGAACAATACATTTACAAACACAATACAATTACACAATACAAATTACAAATACAATAGCCAGTCAACCATGCTGCCATATTCCCAACAACATGCTTGATAGACTGACAATACTTAAATTATTTTTTATTAAAAGGTTTATACGTGGCTCAGAAAAATTTACCAGACACAAAAAGTAGCCGGCGGTCTTAGGCCAAACAGGCGGCGGTAAACCGCCGGTAACCGCCTATTAATGAAAACCCTGTGTGGAATATACATACTAAAACTATGTGCAGTAGAAGAACAATATTTTTCAAGTTTTCTAGTTCATATAATTGTAAACTTTGTTTGCGATTAAAAGCTATTTATCACAGGTTTCACTCCTTGACTAGTGGGAAAAACTGCTTCGACTGGTTAGCCTCAAGAACTCAATACTTTAACCTTCAAATTAAATTTACAATGGGGCATTTACCACCACTTAGTTGTGGAATGTAGGGCATTTGAACTTTGTTTTTTGACTTGGGGTAGGGAATTTGATCATTGCAAAATCCAAAAAGTCAAATGCCCGGAGGGGGGATGTTACACCTTCGTTTTGATCGGCGCATAACATCAGATTACTGAGGGGGGACTGGAGTAAAAACTGTCTTTTGTATCAGTTTGTGGTAATCATGAACACATCTGAAAAATGTCAGGTTTTCAAGTTTTTTGCTTCCTTGCAGGAGTGTCATGATGCAAAATGTGGCCAAAATTAGATATAACAATTTTCGGATTATGTCCCACTCTGTGTTGAAAAAAACGTTGCTTGCTTTCTGTCAAATATTTCCCGGGGCCGACCATATATAATGGAATGCTCACTTCCTTGTGGTGTGTACACATTGTTTTAAAGAAATATAATTGTTTCTGGTCTAGGGGCACTACAGGGGTCCATATTCATATATTCGTGTTCACATACCTTAAAATTATTTAAAAATAAATTAATAATACACAACATGAATATATGAACATGAACCCCCCAATTATCGAGTTTGCTACGGCACTGTGCAGTAAGACTTGGGTGGAGGGGATTGCACTTGAAACCAATTTTAACCTATTACACATATCTATAAAGATTATAAATTTCACTAGCATGGGGGTTAAATACTAGTCAAAGATTTCATTTGGGGACTCTGGAATAAGGGGCACAACATCTTGACATAGGCATTCCAGGTGGGCAGTTGAAAGTGCCCAAATTTTTATGGAGGATTGTAATGAAATTACTTGAATTTAAACTATTTTCCTAGCATTTGCCCGGATTTCCATGGTTTTCCAAAATTGGGGGGGGGGGGGCAGTTGGCTCCCGCCTGCCTCGTACGCCTATGCATTTTGAGGCTGCAATTCTTCTGGGGTTTATAAAAATCCTTATTTCTTTATGGGGATTACAAAACAAAGATCCTCAACTGGGGGTGGGATATTATTAATAGCATGGCCTTATTTACTTATTTAGCATTTTGGGTCAGTGGAAACTGAATGATAAAGATTGGATTCATTATTAAAGTGCCAATACAAGATAGTAGATTAATATAAATATAAATGAGATTTGAGATTTACTATACGAGCCAAACAAATTATAAAGTCGACAGTCGTAAATTCACTGCCTGACCGCATGAATTCTCTGCGAAATATAAAATGTTACATACATAATTTATACATTTGAGAGATACGCACCTTATTTAGGATTTGCAAGATAAAATTCTTTTAATTTCCAAAACAGCACAATCGAGAGCAATAGATTCCTATTCTGTATTTCGGAGCAAAGAAATAATTTCCATTTTTTGCGCGGTAATTTTCGTTGAAATGCAAATTTCAATGTCTCTACCCCCCGGATAGCGTATAGCAAATTTTAACCCTGGCGTAAACTTCCGGTACCGGATGTTGCATTGTCTGCCACCGGAACTGCCAGATGTTACAAGTCTCTCTTTCCTTCTCTCCCCTCAGCGGTACGTCATGTAACGTACAATATAAGAGAGACTTGGAGCAAGTCTAGCCTGGAATGCTGCCTTTACTGTCAAAATGGCGACCAACGCGTGTTCATAAAAAATCGCGGACACAATGGACCTATTCCCTAATAACAAAATTTTGATCTATAGACAAGTCTAGACAAAAATTTTATCACGGCTTGAAAGAGCATTATAAAATTAGTAATATTCCGAAGTTTCGTTGCAAAATGTTGTAAAATGCGGACAATATAGCCCTGCGAAGTTTGTCGTTTTTCAGTCATTTTGTATTACGCACGGGAAATTAAATACCTTTTTTGAGAAAGCGGTATCAATTTCCCGTGCGTAATACAAAATGACTGAAAAACGGCAAACTTCGCAGGGCTATATAGGCCGTAGGATGAGCATCCAAAAGATGCTTAGAAAACGGATTCCGTTGCACCCCTCGTGTAACTACGTAATTTTCACATGAATAAATAGATAAAAACTTACTTTATCAGAATCCGTTGCTCCCCAAGCGAAACAGGTGCACAATTGGGAGAAAAATCCCTCCAAAGTTTGATATTTTCGCGCTTCGAAATATTCGAACCGCCATTGTTTTGATAGCAAATACGCATGCGCAACTCACCCAAACTCGCATTGCGCACGCGCACAACCAACGCACATGCTTCGAAGTGGAAACACCGCTCAGTTAATCAGTTATGCAAATAAACATGGCTGAAGATATTTATAAAACTCGACTATCCTCAATCCTCATGTTTTATGCATTTTGTTGGCGTTACGGAGCATCTTTGCAAAGTTACACGCAAAAGACTTAAGAAATTTCTTGAGCCTAGGTCAAAATGGGCCAAACTTAAATGTCAACAAGCTGAAATAGCTAAGAAATTATTATTTTATTATTATTTAAGCTTATTTATTCACGGTAGCCTTTCAGAAGCCTGTTTTTCAAAGGGCCGTGCACACTTACTATAAACTATTATAAGAATATTAAAATTATTAACTAAAAAAAACAAAAAAAAACAAAAACAATCATGCATAATATACTCTATTTACATCGGCAAGGCATAATGCTTTGATATGGTTTGGCA